CTTTAGAAAAGGACAAAGTTGATTCTAATATGACAATAACCTGGCCTGCTATGGTAATGATGAAGTGAAATAAACGAAAAAAGAGGAAACGAAAACTGAAGGTCAGTTAAGGCGGCGTCCATGCACAGCTGCTACAAAGCGTCTATAGGCTGCTAAGACCGGCAATCTTGATGATGCGGAATGCACGTTGCAAAAGGACTGCGGAAGTGCGCCGTCAGCACGTGCTCAGCAGTCGCGCATACAACTATGGCCGCCAATGAATATACTCCCTATGGCGGAGGTGAGAGAGCGCCGCAGAAGCAGACGAGGATCGATGCACCTCTCCCAATCTCTCGATGGCGCGGGAGCGTCAAGAGAGGTCGCCACGAATCCTGGAAGCGCGGAGCGGAAAAAACGAGGGTAGCCATAGCCACCTCTATACTCACAAAGCCTGGCAGTTTGACGCCCCGTTCACAGATTTGGAGCGAGAGGATCTGGTAGCACAGAGCATCAAAGAGCCATTTCTCGTGAAACCTGGACGTCAGCTCACAGCTTTTGCAGCGCCGAGGACCCGAAACACACTTGTTCCCTCGGGAGAAGAGTGTTTCGGTGTCTCGCCGCAGCGGGGCGCCCGTCACGTGGCTCTCCTTTCAACCGTTGTCTGCCACTCCACCTTTTTCATTTCGGCTGCCGCTTCTCGTGGCGATCTGCCAGGCTTTTTCAGTGTATCGGAGGTTATGGGGTAGCGAAGTGTGGCGCTGGAGAATGGGTGTAGAGTGTGCGTTGGGGGGCAGATTTCACATTTGGAGTGTCGTACTCCTGACAAATTAATCTCCACATAGACTAGGAAGAGCGCAAATACTTTCGGGTGCATCTTCGACACCTTTGACGACATTAGTTCAGCATCGTGTGTACGTACGAAAAGCCAGTAATGAGGACCGACGGGGCCTGCGTCCCCTTACGAAGAAAGCAGCGTGAAACTCATTGCATCATAAAGGCCGGTTCACACATACAGCGGAGCGCTTCCTAGCGCGTGATGTAACGCTCGGTTAGCGCTTGAGCAGCGCTCTGTTAGCGCTTCCGAAGCGCTCTGTTAGCGCTCTCACGCTCCTTGTGCCGTGATTGCTGCTGAACAGCGCGTGCTTGGCGATTCCGTTCTTGTTTTTTTTTTTTTTTTTTTTTTTTCCTTTGGTGGCGAAAGAAGAGGAAGTAAAAGCCGCTCTCCAAGCAAACGGTCGGGCAAGTGATCCAGAGTCATGGACTTTGAGCAACCAATTGATTGGGTACGACCTCGTCGATTTCTATTCGACATGAATGAACCTGGTTTCAAAGACACGCAGTTAGAAAAATAATCACCTTTAAAAGAACTTTGGTCCCTCAGCCTGCAGAACAAGGTTCGCCATGTAAACGTCGGTATCTCGGTGGCGAAAGATTTCGCGCACCCAGAAGGCTGTTCTTGGTGTTAAGTCGTCTACACACATATGCACTAATTGCGTAGGTAACAGCATTTGTCGCGTTTCTATTTCAGCGTCCCACATGTCTGCCATAGTGCTGCTGGTGCACCCAACCACAGGAACCAGAATCGCAGTGCACGCGCTAATCCGCAGCAGTAACCGCGGTACAGGAAGCGCTAACAAGGCGCTACTGAAGCGCTAACAAGGCGCTACTGAAGCGGTAACAAGGCGCTACTGAAGCGCCAATCGCGCGCTATATTAGAACTAAGTCACGCGCCAGGAAGCGCCACATGAGCGCTCCTTGGAGCGCTGACGTAGTGCTAACTTAGCGCTCCGCTGTATGTGTGAACAGGCCTTAACTAAGCGGACGCCAGAGAACGCGCACAAAGAAATAAGAATGCAGACAAAAAGAAAGGCCGGCATTTTGATACACGCGCTCGCAGAGGAAGATATTACCCATTTTTCCATCGAAGGGATTTGGAGTGTCTACTTCACGTAAAGGAAAGAGCCAATCGATTCAATGATCATAGGGAGGACGACGAATGTCGAGGCCGGAAATGTCTTTACACCTACAGCCTGCGCTCTAATACTGAGCATTGTTAAATGTCGTGCTGAGCTCAGTGCCACAGCGAAAAGAGATTTTGAAGGTCGAAACATATTTCCAACGTCTCATTCGCCGAGTTACCTCTGTAGACTGCAGTACCTGCATCTCCCTTTCTTTCTTTTACTTTTTTTCTTTTTTGCGAGAAAAAGTAGACGCTAAATATTCTTTAAAGTGTCGATGAATGTATAAATTTACATCTATGTGTTGGTTATTAGGCGTAAGTAAATGAGCCAAATGAGCTTTGTTATCGCGTAATTCAGCAACCATGCATACTTTGTGCGTCTTTGGAGAACTTTCCGGCGTATTTCTTTACACCCCGAATGTGAAAGTGTTCTATCTGATTGTAAATCCGGCAGACCTTGCTGCACGAATGCATTGCACCACGAATTGGTTGCGACATTGTTTTTAGTCTCGTTCAGCCAACGATGTGGGCGGGCCGTGCTACGTATGCTCAAGCCGTCACGCAGCCTCAGAGGCAAAACGGTGTACACCGATTTTGTCGTTTAAACAGCATTATTACTGATCCACTATAACGAACGCCCCGTTTATTGAATAAAACAATTAGAAGAAAGTGAGTAAATTCCATTTCAACTTTTAATAACGGACTCTGCGAGCCACCGGAGCTAATGAGTAGCTCAGAGTCTGTCACGTGCAGTCTTATACACGTCATTAGAAATTAATTGACTAAAACCGCAATTACTATTGATTAAAACGCATTCAATTATATTACTCGATTACATGAGAAAGAAAGTAATTGACATTTACTTGAAGAAGTAACCGTTGCTGTTCGGATTACTTCGATTTTCAAAGTGACAGATTTTTCCGCCGGTTTCAAAACGGGTCTTATGTACTGTCTGTTACTGGATTAGGACAGTCGAATTAGAGACTGTAGAAGAGTAGTAAGTTGGGCGAGTTGGTAAACGTTGAACATGATTAAAATCGCGCACAAAGAGACGAGGACAAACGAGGAAGGAACACAGAACACAGACAAAATCGCGCACAAAGAGACGAGGACAAACGAGGAAGGAACACAGAACACAGACAGGCGCGCACTCACAACTCCAGTATATTAAGCGAAGAAGAGAAAGATGAAGCACTAGTGCTTCATCTTTCTCTTCTTTGCTTAATATACTAGAGTTGTGAGTGCGCGCCTGTCTGTGTTCTGTGTTCCTTCCTCGTTTGTCCTCGTCTCTTTGTGCGCGATTTTAATCATGTTCAGAATTAGAGACTACTCTTCAATTCTCCATCTACCAATTTTAGTGGACCAACCTCCTGCCGGAGTCTTTGTTCGAGAACACACTGGTAAGAAGTAATCGCAAGATTAATCTTACGATTACTTCCTTAGAAATATACTCAAATAGTTACAAAATAACTCCAAAAATTAATCGAGTACAAGTAATTTAACGAGTATCGAAGTATGGACACGTGACCTTTCGGTTGGGCGGAGCGAACCAGCGGAGCGCGAAGTCATGTGGCACGCAAGGAGCACCATGGACTGGCTATCGTGGTTTGTAACCTGCTTTGCGCACTACATCGCAAGGTGAAAAGGAGCATAGTGTCGCCACTATTGTGGTGAAGCGTGAACTTGAGGACATCTCAGAGTGTGCAACGCGGCACGGTTAAAGTGAACGAGAAATAATTGAGCTTTGCCTCTTGGAATCGACGCGCTCTTGCAAAACCTACTAATCCGGTGGAAAGTGCTCATCTCTATGGCACTAGTATGAGCGGTAAGATTCCCGCCAATATCCCTTCGACGTAGGGTACAAAGAAAATCTAAGCAAGAATAGCGTATTTCCACTTTTAGTCAACGTAATAGTCATAGGCGGATGGTGTCCGATTTCGACAGTAAGAAAATTTCGGATAATATCTTCAAAGTCAGAGTTGTACAATTCCGCGATTGCGTTGCGCGAACGTGACAAACACCGTGCGCTGCTTCTGCCGCGAAAAGGTCAAAAAGTGATGGGAAGCGCAAGCACATACAAGTTTAAACTTCCGCATCTAGACCCCCATCTGTCCTTAACGCTGCTCGAAACTTTCTTTTTTTTTTTTATGTTGAACAGCGTTTTTGTGTTTACTCATATATATATAAATCATGGAAGTCAGCACGTCGGATGTCTGTTTCAAACCAGCACTAAGTTGTATTTATTGGCACGCCGTTTTAAGGCACGTTAAGGTTGTTCAGAACGCCGTGCACGAAGGACGGGATGGTCTCAAGCTTGCACCGTGTCTTTGCACACACGATTGAAATTGTCGCTGTCAGTCGATAAACCTGGTCGTGCGTCACAAAAAGGAACCATGAGGGAGACACCGAAGCACCTCGTCGCCAAAAGTGCCTTGGGTTATGCAGCCAGAGCTTCTGCTCCCCTCGCTCCAGCTGGGGTACCCTAAACCTTTCCGTCATTATATAAGATGATTTAGTTGCGCAGAACTATGCACGTCGCGGTGTGCCAAGCAGAAAAGAAAAACCCTACGCACCCGCTAGCTTGCCACCGTGGATTGGTGTAGGGGGGGGGGGGGGGGGAGGAAGGGGGGGTCAGCCTCCCCCCTTCCTTTGCATCTCAAGTCATGGACATGCCAGACACATCAGCTGCCCCCCCCCCCCCCCTTCTTCCCCCGGAAATAAATTCCCGGCTATGCAACTGTCACTAAAGACGCCCTGCTTCTGACCGGAATGGCAACCAGGGAAGTCAACGACAACGGCAAAGCGAGGTCATCCAAGACCTCCGGCGTGAAGCCGAGAGTTCCATCCACCGAAGACGCCCACGTCTACGGCTAAGGCCCGTACCAGGGGTTGGTGCTTGTTTTCTCCGTCATCTCCTTCTTCATGGCGGTGATCCATACGGTCCATACCCAGTCGCTCACCATCATGGCGAGTCCAGTGACCCACTTATGCAAGCCTTCCGACGAGTACGCTGGCTTGTCCGCGGACGAGTGCATGGAAGAACACAAGTATTCCCAAGGACATGGACGGCCAGATCAGCAGCTGCACCCGTTACGAACCGCCGATGCTGACTATTGCGGAAAACGGGACGGAGGTCAGCTGCGACCGCTGGGACTACAACCGCGAGGTCGGCGCTTCTATCATCATTGAGCTCGATCTGGTCTGCGAGAGGAAAGGGCTGCTCGGAGCGCTCCAAGCTGTATACATAGGCGGGGGAGCGGTTCTCCTCCCTGTGATGCGCTCACTGGCGGACAGCTACGGGCGCAGGCTGGTGCTCGGGCTCACGCTCTTCGGCCTCATCGCGTCCCGGATGGTCACTTCCGGGGTGAAGACCCTTCTCGAGTTTGGGTTGCTGCAGCTTCTTATGTCAACGTCGGTCACCACGCTTGAGGTTCGTCGAACATCATTTAGATAAAAGTCATGCTAATGATTTCCACCGGGAGCTAAACAGTGTTCACCCCGCGATACAGTTTTCTTGCGAGGCAGAACAGCAGGGCAAATTGCCCTTCCTAGATGTATCTGTAATAAGGACAGGCGAGCCGAACCACAGGATTGAAACGGGAGTGTACCGCAAACCATGTGAAACAGATAATTTTTTGGATTTTTTGTCCCATCACCCAGTGCAACACAAGAAATCAGTAGTGCGATCGTTTGTACAGAGATCAAATACCGTGTCATCTAACGAGCTCCATGGCGCAAATGAGATGACTCATTGACAGGGAGCTTTGGTGAAACGTCACTACCCGAGGCGTTTTGTTGACGAGGTCAAAAACAAAATGAAACAAAATATGCAACCGTGCGAAAGGAAAAGAGATAAGAATGTAGTGTGCATCCCCTATGTCAAAGGAGTCTCCGAACCTCTTAGTCGCGCTTTGAGGCCCCTTGGCATCCGAACTGTTTTCAAGCCATACAGAACTATTGGAAATTCCGTTTCCAAACCAAAGGACCCAACCCCGGCGAACGTCCAAAGAGGCGTTATCTACAAGATCCCCTGCAGTGACTGCCCAGCGTCCTACATTGGTGAAACCGGACGGAGGAGAGATACCAGACTCAAAGAACACAAGCGTGACGTCACGTACGCACCCCACGCGACGCTACTGAAGACTGAACTGGTGGATCATGCGTGGACAATGGGGCATTCTTTCGACTTTCCGGCCGCGACGACCTTGGCGAGAGAGGACAGATGGGGGCCCCGAAAGCTTCTAGAATCGTGGTTTCTTCGCAGGGACACATCCGTGTGCAACAAAAACCGCGGCCCTCTCCACGAAGCTTACACGGACATTCGTGATAAATAGCGTGGAGTTTAGGTTGAACCCTGCATTTGCTGTGTAACTACTGATGATGCCTCCCGCATGGGAGGCGAAACGTCTAATAAAGTTGTTTTTTCTGTTATGTCAAGTCGGTGTACTTATTTTAATTATCATTTTCTTACCAAAATTCATGAAAACGAGAGAGTACTAGCCGTTCTCTGTGGCAGCATCCTAAACTCCCATCCGTTATAAAGTCCAAAAGATAAATATGCGCGAAGATAGGGGGGGGGGGGGGGGGGTTATAAGGATATTCACTGGGCGCCATATTTTAGTTTACTACTTACTGCGCATGCTTAAAACGAGCTCACACTCATTGTCTGCTAAGAACGGCCACGTGGATTGTGTTGAACGATCCGTTGCGGAAGCACTGTGAAAGCTCGCACGCGCTCTGCCGGCACGAACGCACCAGGGGTCGCCAGTGAATTCCATCCCCCGCCCCCTTCTCTCCAGCATATGATTATAGAAGAACCTGGTGAAACCGCATTGCACTGAAAAACCTCCTCATCCTTTTTGCCTCTGGAAATGCATTACCACTGGAGCATTTGATACAGATCAACCGTACTTTTGGAGACTTTGTGACACGGTTCTTGTGTCCCGTTAGGCGATCAGCACCGTGATGCTCTTCGAAGACACGCCGCAGGACTGTCGGATGCTCCTCTGCTCAATCAATGTCGGCGTGCCCCTGGTGCTGGGACCCTTGACGCTCGGCCTGATAGGCAGGTTCTTCGTCCACTGGACGGCCATGCAGCTCGTGATGACGTCGCCAACCCCGCGGCTCGTGCTGACCATCTACCTGACGGACGAGTCTTCGCGCTGGCTCATGGCTTCCTGGAAGTTCAAGGAGGTCGAGCAGGTCATCATTACGGTTGCCAATGTGACCGACCTACAAGACTTGAATAAGATGCGCTTTCAGTTCATCAAAATCAAGGGGGAGGTTGTCTCGCGTCAGGCGTTTGGTGCCAAGCCGAATGTCTTCGGCATCATCAAGTCGACCAAAATGCGCGCCCGATCGGTCATCCTGTTTGGGAGTTGGTTTGTGGTCTTCTACTGCTATCCGAGCATATCCCAGTACAGGTCGGTGCGAAGGGACGCCGTCACCTTCCACACGACGATCGGTACCGCCAACTTGTGCACCCTCAGGCCACCAACTACTTCGTCCTGAAGGGGTACGGCCGCCGTAAGCCCATGTTGGTCTACATGTTGGTGCTGTCCATCATGATGACGTTTCTGGCGACGCTGATTCTTGGAGAGATGAACCTTGCATTCGCGGGGTTCGCGCTCCCCACCGTGTTTATGGCGGAAGTGACTTTCGCCACCCTGTTCGTGTTCACCGTCGAGCTCTTTCCCATGGCGGGGCGCAGCGCAGTTGTATGCGGGGCCTTCTCCTTTGGGCTCATAGGCGGCGTGACCTCGTCGCTTCTCAACGGTTTTAAGCTCCTGGTTCCACCGAAGGACACGGCGGTCCCTATCTTTATCGGCGCAGTAGGGCTCCTCGCGTTCGGGTTGCTGTGCCTACGGCTGCCGGAGACAGTCGCGGTGAGCGGCATCAACGACGTCCAGCAATTTCAAGAGGCTACGACGGAGGAAAAGTGATAGCTGCGGTCGCCGGTGCCTCGCGCGCACAAGCGAGCCGGTGCTCCCAGACGCTGAGGAAAGGTTTCGTTGAGTCACGTCACAGATACGGGTTCCCGGAAGTTCCCGCGGCTGTATGGCTGCCACGGGGTGCCCTCGGGATCGGTTCGGGACTCCAAACAGTAGACTTACTTTTAGGAATCTTAGCAATCGGAAAGGCGAGCCTTATCTCGCCTTAGTGCAAATGCGATCCCAGTGTCAAAATATTGTTAACCACTTTCAACCAATAATACTGCACGAATCACGATACAGAGCGCCGTCCTCAATTATTAAGGTCCTTCAAAAAATACGATTGGCGTTCCAAGAGTTTCGAGGTGCTTACCGGGAAATTTTACTGTGTATGAACAATTTTCGTTTTCTAGATGGTAACCACCTGAAATCTATATGATACTAATACATTAGTTTGAGAAAAAAAAATATATTGCTGAAGTTGGACACTGGCTTTTTAAAAAATATGCGCGTTCTTTTTCTGTATTTTTTTTTTCATGATGTCAAATGAATTACAAAAACCAAATACGTGTATTGACAAGACCTGAAACATATTGTAACAATAGAATGCGCAGGTATCTTGAAATAGGGAGAATATGTGATCTGTATCAGCTGCCTATGAAGTAAACATACACACAGCATTCAATTCCATCGAACATTAAAAAAAATTGTTAGATCTCGAACGTAATCCGCACCACGTTAATGTAAAATAGTAAAATTCTAAAACAATCGAAATTTAAAGAAAAAAAAAAAGGGTGGGCGAACGATTCAAGAACACATTGAAGCGTTTGCTCGGTCCCGCTCTTTCTCATCTTGTTAGGTCGTCCGTTGCAATTACCATCTGCTAAGTAGCCCAGGTATTTTTTTTTATTTTTTTTTTTATTTAGAAAATACTGCAGATGGTTTTTCACCATCCAAGCAGGAAAGGGTTACATACGGTTTCAAACAGAGCAGTCAGAACAGTCAACATTTGGGTCATGCACACAATCGGTTACATAAGGTTTCGAACACAACAGTCAAAACAGTCAATATTTGGGGCATGCACACAATCGGAGGGCAGTGAATTCCAGTCGTTAATCGTACGTACAAAAAAAAGAGTATTTAAACGTGTTATTTTTAGGAGCATATGGTCTCACATTTTTTGCGTGATTCAATCTTGCAGAGCGCTGGGGAGGTGGCAAAAAATATAAGGTTTTGTCCAGGCCGGACTCATTATTGTAGACTTTATAAAAAAAAACCAGCCTAGCAATCTTCCGCCTAGACTCGAGCGATTCGAGTCCGCAATTACGTATCATGTCCGACACTGATGATAGGCGCCTAAAATCGGAAGAAATAAATCGTGCACTGAGGCGCTGGATTCTCTCGACTTTTCCATTATCTTTTATTAAGTACGGGTCCCACACAATGGACGCGTATTCTAGCACTACGTCTAGCACTTCGGCAGCCACTATACGTGGCTGCCGAAGTTTTTAAGGTTGCGATGGGAGCTCGCTTATCGTAGTTGCTGTCACATCTGCTCGAAGAGAAAGATGTATACAAACGGAGATTAGTCTATATTGTCACTTGTGAAGCGTTCCCTTCAAATTAGTAAAAGCCGCAAACACGTTTTGTGAGGGGTACTTGGAAAGAAACTCAGCCGGATTAGGTCGGAGACTCCGACGGGTACTAACGTTCACCCAATAAAAATTTCATAAGTGGGTACATTATGGCTTCTTGATATGTCCACCTAACCTTGATAAAAAAAAAAAAAAAAAGCAATCACATAACATTTTTTTTTTTTTTTTTTGATGGGCGGGGGGGGGGGGGGGGGGTTTATTGTGTAATGGTCTACGGGTACGGACACGGCCGTCCCGAACCTCCCGAACCCCAGGCTAGCTGGAACACTTCAGTAATCATTCAATATTTTTCTTCCTCTACTAAACAAAAAGATGATTTCGGGAAAGGGGGGGGGGGGGGGGGGGGGGGTTGACTTTCCAAATTAAATTACTTTCCTGCGTACGCCATTGGGGAGGGCGTTTCGAGTGGGGGAGGGCGATAAATGAAACTATGGTGCCTGGAACGCGTCTCCGACTGGTGTGTTTACCGCGGCCAAAAAAGTGGTCCTTCGATTTCCGCCTGATGACGTCATAAAAGTGTCATGCTGTCACCGGTCGCGACCCTGGCGGCGTTTGAACAGTTGTGGTCTAAGTGGCAGACGCCTGTTCTGCTGCCGGTCGCTGTCCACTGTGATAGTTCACGGAAGTTAGAGCAGCCGGAAGTTGGGACGCCTAAAGGGAGAACATGACGACAGCGACACTCGCGTTCGCTCGTGCTTTTCGCCAGCATTTCTACAGCCAACGGCCAGGATCGCGACAGGCAACAGCATGACACTCGCGTCATTTGTTGCCACATTGGGACCACTTTTGATGTATGGGCGCGATAGGGCGCTAAACACACCAGTCGAAGACACGATCGAGGCACCATAATGAAACGGCGGGCGTTAGAGTGTGACGCCACCTTTTGGAAAGAGCGGGCAGTTCGGCAAGTCCCGACTTTTCGTTGCATCGATAGGTGGCAGCACCTCCTCGTGCTCTTTTGTTTTGTTTCCCGTGCTCAAAAAGAAATATTTTTGCCAGGCGATTTATTATGGCTTCAGCAGTCAGCCCAATCTATATTTTGCTGCAAGTCACGTATAGTTCTAATAAAGTAAAAAAAAAAACGCAACTGTTCAAACCCGAGACCGAAACTAGAATGGGGAGAAAGCCGCAATGTTGACAGGGAGAGTTGTCAGAACTAGGGATGTCGCGAACCACCCTAGGTTCGATTTCGAAAGGTTTCGATATTTGCGAAGCGAACTGAGGTTCGATTTCGAAAAATTTCGATATTTTCGTACCGACCGAGGTTCGAATTCGAAAAATTCGCAACTTTTGACCACAGCGGAGTTTCGAATTCGAAAATTTCGAAGCTTTCACGGTTTCTAAAATTTCGAATTCGAATATTTCGAATATTGTTTTCCTTCAGGTTCGATAAATTCGAAGATTTCGAAATTCTTTGGAAACAAAATTCGAAAACTTCGAACGCTTCGAATTTTTATAGACATGAAGTTCGAAAAATCGAAGATTTCGAATTTCTTTCTGCATAAAGTTCGAAAAGTTCGAAAGTTTCGATTCTCTTTTAACGCTAAATTAAAAAAAAAAAAAAAGAAAAAAAAAACTTTGAAGATTTTGAATTTCTTTCTAATCCAAGTTTTCAAAGTTCGAAGTCCGATTTTCAAGTTTTTCCACAGTTTTAGTTTCAAATAACGTTTTCACGACTCACTGGTTTTCACAAAATCAAGTTTAGAAAAGTTAGGGTGTGATATCTAGATTCTGCGAAGTTGGTCAGGCAATTAAATGATACGACGAGTGTCCCGGACGTGCTAGAATATTTGCCAGTGCAGAATTGTAACCGCCAGCCCCCCCCCCCCCCCCCCCCCCCCCCGGGGGGGGGGGGGGGGGAGGGGGGGGTCTTTAACCTGCATCACGCAGTAGTGATTGCACGAACACACTGTTTTACGAGACTCATTCAGTTCGAAACGGCCAGGAGCGAGCAGGAGGTTGAGGCTCAGAAAAACCTTGAAGCGACCTGGCAAACTAGCTCGCCACCCCTTGCACGCTGGTAGTAATCCGATCCGGTGAAGTTTGTAATTGTCCTAAAGGTTTATTTTCTGAGACGGAGGAATCGCCTCGCAAAAAGCACGAAAGCCGACACAACTCGAGGTCGAGAAGCGTTCTGCCATACAAGTGGCGTCGGAAGAGGGAAAACGGGGGGAAAGAGGGTAGCGGGGGGCTTCAGCCTTTTTCTCCACCTTGCAGGTATTTCGGACTGTTAAATAATAATATTTCAACTCGGAAAGAGTTGCGACACCACAAAAGGCGAGGAGCCCATACCAGGAGGTATGGGCTCCTCGCCTTTTGTGGCGAGGAGCAATACGGGGAAAGAAGGCGTGGTCGACCTTATTTTTAATCTGAAATTATTTATGCATATGTATAGCTACTGTCGCTCTTCACTGCATAAAAGGTTGCGTAGATGGTCATTGTTAGAAACTGGTTGTCAGAAGGCACTACTCGTCACATGCTTAGTGGTTCGGAAGTTCAAAGCTGTCTTTTCGACTTAAATACCTGTGCCGATAGTAACAAAAAAAAAAAAAAAGAATAAATGCGGAAATAAAAAGCAGGAGAAAAAAAAAACTATCAAGAATTCGTCGGAAGTGTTCTATTCTTGCATATTAAGAGGTTCAGAACTTCAAAACAAGTTTCTTTTACCAAAATGTGTACAGGCTAAAAGAAACACGTCCCAAACACGTGAAGCGAAAAAAAAAAAAAGTTTTCTTTTAATGACGTGCTGAAGTTGAACACTATTAGAAATCTTCTCCCATGAGTTAATTTATTCCTTAACGTGAAAAAGCAATAAATATATTATTTTGTATTCCGCAGATGGCAATGATATGTACTGTCTGTGGTGTTAACTTAAATGCGATACCTCAAACAACTTAGACGAAAATAAATATCAAGTTTAGGTCAA